TGATGTTGTGAAATACATTTGTGCCTTATGATTTTTAATGAATCATCGCATGTTTTTAATGTTGTTAAGTACATTAGTGCATTATGATTTGTAAGGAATCATCGCATGTTTTTAATGTTGTTAAGTACATTTGTGCATTATGATTTGTAAGGAATCATCGCATGTCTTTGATGTTGTTAAGTACATTTATATTAAAATGTTCAAATGTAGCTTAGAAATGATCCTATAGATTCATTTGGAACATAGACGTTAGGTGGCATGACCCACTTTTGTCGTTTTTGTATTTTAGATTTGAAGTTGAGGGCTTTGAGAACCTATATCTTGTTGTTTTACATAGCATGCCCTTATGTTGTTTGGAATTGCATGAAGGATGTCATTTATGCTAGAAATGATCTAAGGTAGCTTAGGATGCTCTCTGAGTCTCACCTTTGACCTAGACATTAGGTGGCATGATCCTTTTGAATTGTTTCACTTTAATGTGATAATCTTGTAAAACGTTAGGTCCTTGCATGCTCATCTCCTACGAGTAACTTTATGTTGCTCACCCCAAAGTTACCGAAGCATTTTTCAGGTACATGAATCAAGGTTCGAGATTTTCATTATACTTGGATGATTATAGACTTGAAGGTTTTCGTTCTTGTAAAGGTTGGCTTGAAATGCCACTTGTAACTTTATATTTCAAAACTTGTATATTTTATTTCAAACATGTAATGTGTGTATAAGCACACCATTTGGAATGTATTTGATATGTATGAGATAATGCCGGAGGCCAATGACAATTATTTTGTACCCTATGTAACTTTTGAATTCATGAGATATTATGAAAGTATTGAAAAATGACAAGTTATTGTTTCACCATGGTTGCATCGGGTGTGGGAATTCCATTCTTACTCTTTCATAGGGTCTCATTAATCATGTATGAAGTATGGCCAAGGGCCAAATGGTAATTTTCAATAATTTGTTAATTTTGGTTTTCAAAATTTTCATTTCATGTGCATATTTGCCTTTTTGGCCTTCGGGGGGTCAGATTTTTCATCAGTCATTTCGCGGACCATTCCCCCATGCTCAAAATCACTCATTACGTTTGTGTGCATATTCGTTTCAGCCTAGAAATGCATTTGGGGTCAAATGCATACTTGGTGCAAAGTTGCATTTTTGCCGTTCTGAGCCTAATCTGATCTAGGGGCATTCTAGACATTTCACAGTGAGTTTTTTTGTTTCAGTCTATGGGGTCAGGTAGAAAACTTGATTTTGACGAGGGGTTTCTTCTTTGTGTTTTCTTCATAAAGGCCCAGAAAGTCCTCAAAATCACATTTCAAACCCAAAAAGCTGTTGAGCTTGTCTGCAAGATGAGCGCTCATCCATGGGGGACGAGCGCTCGTAAATAAGGCAGTGGGTTTTTACCCTGGGGCATGCTCTGTATGAGCACTCTTCGCCCTTAGACGAGTGCTCGTCCGTACTGTTCATGGGTGTGTGTGTGTCTTTGTTCAGCACTGCACCTCCGACTTCAAATTGTTTTATCTGTTTTTTTTAATTCCGAATTGGTCTGTTCTTGAGTCTAAATTGACCATGTCAAAATAAAATTTCCAATGATACTAATTAGAGCTTTAAATTTTATTTGTACCACTTGATATCCTTGTTTTAGTAAGAGGGTGCCAGTTTAGGTTCAAACTGGGATAGGGTTCATCTGGGATTTCACTTCCTTTGGCCCTGGGACTTCATGTGAAGTTACCAAATGATGTTTTTGGATGTTTTTGTTCTCATTTGACTTGTTGGAAGTCAAATTCCTTCCTCTTAGGGTAAAATGACCATTTTACCCTTGGTCCTTCCTTTGGTAAGGTTTTGATACCATTATCTTCGTTTTGCTTCCGTTGAGCCTCGAAACTCCTCAAAGGGCCATTAGTGTCTTGGGGATGACGTACATCTCTAAGGACTTTTTTTTGTTTTGCTTTCGCATTTTAGATCCGCTTCGGGTCATCACAGGACACACTAGGTTGAAAAATCCAGGGTCGTCACAATTGATGAATCTTGACGGCACCGGTGTGGTGCCTGCCAAGAGCTCTCCGACGATCAAGTCAATTACCGGAGGTCTAAAAGAAAGGCAGGGATTTAATAATAGTTTTTTGTCATACCTTTATTGACTGGTAGGATCTCATTCTTATAGTTGCTCTCCCTTAGTTCATTTACGGAATCAGAGGAGATCTGCTTGTGCGAGATCGGAGGAGATTCGCTTATGCGAGATCAGAGGAGATCCGTTTGTTGCCAGATTTGTCAGGGATATGATTTAACCCTTTTGACTTCCTCAAATTGTGCTAAGGTTATCCTTACCCTGTTGTACCACGTCATCTTTCATTATCCTTGATAATGAAATATTATTATTCTTATCCGATAGAAATATCATCGTTCGAAAGTCAAAGAGGTTTAGCGGCTAGTCAACTCTTAGTTGCCTCTATCGTTAGGTCAAGGTAGGTTAGGTTTATTTTTCCCTATCAGTATTCACTTCATTTTTAAAAAATTAAATGACATAAATATCAATTTTACTTTATAATTACATATTCAAAGTGAAATGCATTTATAAAAAATTAGAGCTCATTTATTAACTCTCTAAGCAAATTATAAGATAATTTATAATCTTGGTAATGTACCACTTCAAAGCAATAATGTTATCAATGAACTGAAAAGTGATTAGTTTTCACACTCAGAGTATTACTCTATTAGATAAAGGGTAAGTTGGGCATATCAAATTAATTCACGTGCACCATTTAAGTTGGTTGGTTAATTTTACATAGTCAATTAGAATTCTATCCGACCAAATAGTGGTCGTTTTACATTATTAGTGAAAAACATAATAAAAATGTTATAATAAGTATGAGGAGTGCTAATGGCAAGTGACTGGCCATTCACAATCGCGTTAGGATTGTTTAGTTTTGAATGCATTAATTTCTTTGAAATTCTATTTTTATGGGACTCTACTAACATTACTTTATAGAAGAAAAAAAATACCCTTTTAAATTATCTAACATTTCTTCTTCTCTTCTTCTCTCCTCTTTTAATCGAATCAATCCATTGTCTTGCCTTCTTGCATTAGCTTAAATTGCCTTTGTCCTGTTTAGCGGTTATTGACCTGGCCTCTATCCTTAGATTGTCGCCCAGTAGCCCTACTTGCAAATACTATTGAATCTAGTCTTATCTTGTTGGTGCGTTATGGATTTTTGTAAGTGCTACTTGCCTTTAGGTTTCGAAAAGAGCTACCTCCGCACTTTGCCCATCATTGAGCCTATGTTGTTTTAGATTTCCAATGAGAATTTGCGTGTAGCTTCGAGTCTTTGACATAAAAAAAAAAAAAAAAAGGTTCTAATAACGAAACGGACATGTGAGAATTTGGTCCTAGCTTCGTCGCCCACTTTGCTTCTTGTTTTATAGTCCCGAATCGTGCCTGTGAGGTGGTGAGCGAACCTTTGAAAGGGAAGGTGAAAATGACATAGACATTTAGTTGAGTTAAGTAGCTTGGAAGTTAGAAAGAATTCGAAATAGATGGAGTGCTTTCATTAGTAACGGTACGTGTTCGTCCCTCATGGCCCTTTCGCCTAAGACTGGGCCAATCGGTTGTTGAAGTATTGGTTGTTTACCCAATGCAGAGTATGTGTGATAGTTATGTGAATGAATTCTGAAAAAGGAAAAAAATATAGATAGGATAATTCATTCACAAGAGATGGATGGATTTGGAAAAAAATAAAAGGAAGAAGGAAAAAAAAAAAAATCCAAAAAAAATAAAAAGAAAGGTAAAAATAAAAAATAAAAAAAATCGAGTATATATTTCTTCCTTTTTTGTTTTTTCCTATATATATATATATATGTTTCTTTTTGTTTTTATTTTTGTATAAATGGATTTTTTTAAAAAAAAAAGGAAATAATTCCTTCACCAAAAAAGAAATATATATGTATATAAAACTAATTTTGTATATATATTTTTTAAATCTCAGAATCTATCTTGTTCTTTTTACTTCTTCTTTTTTGGATTTTTTTCTATCTCGTTTTCGTTTTCTTTTTTCTTTTTTTTTTTCAGGATTCATTTCTTGTGAATGAATTATCCTATTTCACTTTTTTTTTTTTTTTTCCTTTTTCAGTATCCATTCACATCACGTTAATTATTATTATTATTATTATTATATATATACACACACACATTCTCATATGAATTGATTAAAAGATTACATAAGAAGAAAGACATAATTTAAAAGGATATTTTTGTCTAAAAAATAATGTTAATAGAGTGCCATAAAAATATAAATTCAAAATAATTAATACATTTTAAACTAATCAGTCCTAATTGTGATTGTGAATGAACAGTCACTTACGCGACTGCAATTAGCACTCCACCCCTTAATAAGTATATAAGATCAATGTAGGATGTTGCGATGTATGCATGTAGAATTACATTGGAGCTTTACAAAAATATTATAACCTACATATATAGAATCACTATTTCACACGAGAGGAATTTGTTCTTACCGGGCGCAACCTACGGAGATAACCCTATCACAAAGGCAACCTCTTCTCAACAGGGGAAGCTGTCCGCGTATGCTATTAGTTTTGGCTTTTTATTTTTATTTTTTTCCTCTCTCTCTCTCTCTCTATTGAAAAAACGAAGAAGAAGATCATTCATAAAATAGAAGTGCTTTAATCACTTCCTTAATTAATCCTCGCGATTGTGAACAAATACAATAACATGGACAGTGATGGGATCCATCCATTATCGCACGTACGCATAAAGCTAGAGAGACAAACAGATTGTATCAGAGAAAGAAAATATATACATATATATAATTATTATACATAGAGAGAAAAAGATTAGAGATATAGTGGGAGAAATGGGTGTGGGCTACATGGCATGTGATGGACGAAAAAAGCTTTTCTACATTTTTAATATATTTTTATTTGTAAAATTAATTAATTAAATCATAAGAATTTTATTTTAGTGAATTCTACAACTATTATCAGTTGGTGTATTACCTCATTCACAGTTTTTATTGTGATGGACCTCTTCATCCCTCCCCGCTGTGACCTCTCCCTCTTCATCCCTCCCTATATATACCCTTCTTGCGACTTTTTCTCTCTGAGCTGAAATTAAAGCCTACGAAAACCAAACCCAGTACCTCCCCATCTGAGATGTGAAGATGAAAACTCTCAATAGCCCCCACTATCACCACCACTACCACTCTCTCACCTCAAACAAACTCTTCTTATATGTCACACTACTCTCTCTAAAAGCTTCATCAGCGTCCATTAATGGACTCTCCAAAGACTCACAGCAACTTCTGAACTTCAAAGCTTCACTTTCAAGTCCAAACACACTCCAAAACTGGCATTTCAACAAAAACCCATGTAATTTCACTGGAGTATTATGCAGAGATTCTAGAGTATCGTCAATAGATCTGAGCTTTGTTCATCTAAATCTCGATTTTGGATCTGTTTGTTCTTTTCTGATTACTCTTCCCAATTTAGAGACCCTTTCGTTGAAGAGCACAAACCTCACTGGTTCGCTCAAATGGGTTGCTAAATCTCGATGCAGTGAGTCTCTCAGCTCGATAGATGTAGCCGAAAATGGCCTCTCGGGTTCGATTTCGGAGCTCTCCAGCTTGTCCTCTTGCTCGAGCTTGAGGACTCTGAACCTCTCCAAGAACAACCTCGATTTCACAGTTGTTGCCTACGCTGATCTAAACCTCAATTTAGAGTTTCTTGATCTCTCCAACAATCGGATTTCCGGCGAAAGCGTCCTCCCCTGGCTGTTCTCTGGTGGCTGCGGCAACCTCCGATACTTGTCCTTGAAGGGGAACAAAGTCGCCGGAGCTATTATTCCGGTATCTAAGTGTCTTACCTTGGAACATCTCGATCTCTCTCAGAACAATTTAAGCTCAACTTTTCCTACTTTCAGCGACTGCTCTGTTCTGCAGCATCTTGACTTGTCGTCGAACAAATTCTCCGGCGACATTAGCACCGTCCTCTCCGGCTGCAAGAGCCTGAGTTTCTTGAACCTCACCAACAACCTGTTTTCGGGTCCCATTCCGAAGATTCCGAGTGGGAGCATAGAGCTGCTGTACCTCTCCGGCAATGATTTTCACGGCGAGATACCATGGTATGTCACTGATGTATGTTCGAGCTTAGTAGAGTTGGATATTTCTGAGAACAAATTGTCTGGTACTGTTCCTGAAAGCTTTAGTTCATGCTCTTCTTTGCAACTTTTTGACATCTCTAGTAACAACTTCTCTGGTGAACTACCAATTGATACCCTTCTCAACCTCACCAATTTGAAGACTTTGGTGTTGTCATTCAACAATTTCGATGGTGGGTTGTCTGATTCACTCTCCAAATTGCCATATTTGGAGACTTTGGATTTGAGTTCTAATAATCTTTCTGGTTCTATTCCATGGGAACTTTGTGGTCAAGACCATGGAAAGAGCTTGAAAGTGCTCTATCTTCAGAACAATAATTTCAATGGTCCAATCCCAGAGAGTCTGAGTAACTGTTCGGAGTTGGTTTCGCTTGATCTGAGCTTCAATTTCCTCAATGGGACGATTCCGTCTAGCTTAGGGTCGCTGTCGAAGCTGAAAGATTTGATCATTTGGTTGAATCAGCTTCATGGGGAGATACCAAATGAGCTTATGTACATCCAAACACTGGAGAATTTGATTCTTGATTTCAATGAATTGGAGGGTACAATTCCAGCTGGTTTGGGGGATTGTACTAATTTGAATTGGATTTCCTTATCGAACAACCGGTTGAGTGGTGAAATTCCGGCCAGCCTTGGCCGGTTGGCGAAAGTTGTGATCATCAAGCTCGGAAACAACTCGATCAATGGAAGCATCCCACCGGAGCTGGGAGATTGTCGTAGCCTACTATGGTTGGATCTCAGCACCAATAAGTTGAGTGGGACTATTCCTCCTGCTTTGTTCAAACAATCTGGCAATATTTCAGTGTCATTGCTCACCGGAAAGCGATATGCTTATATCAAGAATGATGGTAGTAAGCAGTGTCATGGAGCTGGGAATTTGCTTGAGTTTGGAGGAATCAGACCGGAACAGTTGAATAGAATCTCTACGAAGCATCCCTGCAACTTCACTAGAGTGTACAATGGCTTTATTCGGCCCACTTTCAATCACAATGGGTCGATGATTTTTCTTGACCTTTCTTACAATATGTTGGATGGTAGTATTCCAAAGGAGCTTGGGTCCATGCACTATCTCTCTGTATTGAATTTGGGGCACAATGATCTCTCCGGTTCTCTTCCTGAAGAACTTGATGGCTTGAATAATGTAGCCATTCTTGATCTGTCCTATAATAGGTTTAATGGGTTGATTCCACAATCCTTGACTAGCCTTTCATTGCTTAGCGAGATTGATCTGTCGAACAACAATTTCTCTGGGATGATTCCTCAAGTGCCTCCATTTGATACACTTCCGGTTTCCGGATTCATGAATAATTCAGGCCTTTGTGGCTATCCTCTTCCAACTTGCGGGACTTCTAACTCCGGAAACAGCCAGCATCAGAAGTCTCACAGGAGACAAGCATCTCTTGCAGGGAGCGTGGCGATGGGACTGTTGTTCTCCCTATTCTGCATCTTTGGTCTGATAATAATTGCCGTTGAAACCAATAAAAGGAGGAAAAAGGAGGCGGCTTCTCTCGAAGCTTATATTGATGGTCATTCCCATTCAGGTACTGCAACTACCGCATGGAAGCTACCCAGTGTTCGGGAGGCATTGAGCATCACCCTGGAGACATTTGAAAAGCCCCTTAGGAACCTCACTTTTGCTGATCTTCTTGAAGCCACGAATAGGTTCCACATTGACGGCCGTATAGGCTCGGGTGGCTTTGGTGATGTCTACAAAGCCCAATTGAAAGATGGTAGCATTGTAGCAATCAAGAAACTAAAACACATTAGTGGGCAGGGTGACCGGGAATTCACTGCTGAAATAAAAACCATTGGGAAGATCAAGCATCGAAACCTCGTTCCTCTTTTGGGGTATTGCAAGGTGGGAGGAGAAAGGCTTTTGGTTTATGAGTACATGAAGTATGGGAGCCTATTCGATGTTTTACATGACCGGAAGAATATTGGGATCAAATTAAATTGGGCTGCGAGGAGGAAAATTGCGATTGGGGCTGCAAGCGGATTAGCATTCCTTCATGATGATTGCACTCCTCGTATAATTCACAGGGATATGAAATCGAGCAATGTACTGCTCAATGAGAACTTGGAAGCTAGGGTTTCTGATTTTGGTATGGCACGGCTCATGAGCGCGGTGGACACACACTTGAGTGTCAGCACACTAGAAGGCACTCCTGGTTATGTCCCTCCTGAATACTACCAGAGCTTTAGATGCTCAACGGAAGGCGATGTTTACAGCTATGGTGTAGTGTTGCTTGAGTTGTTAACCGGGAAACAACCAATAGATTCATCTGATTTTGGTGACAATAATCTTGTGGGGTGGGTGAAGCAGCATGCCAACATGAAAATAAGTGATGTCTTTGATCCACGGCTAATGAACGAAGAAGTCCCCGGCTTAAGGATTGAGCTGCTGCAGCACCTGAAGGTAGCTTGTGCATGCTTGGATGACCGACCGTGGCTACGCCCCACCATGATTCAAGTCATGGCAATGTTCAAGGAAATCCAAGCAGGGTCCGGGATTGATTCCTCGTCCGCCATTGGCACGGATGATCAAAGTTTTAGTGCAGTTGGAGGGATAGAAATGAGCATAAAAGAGGACACTAAGCTGGGAAAGCAGTAGGTGATGAAACTACTACAATTTTCCAAAAAATTCTTTGAAAAGGAAGAAGGGAGTGAAGATTTATTTATTGAGCTCCCAAATTTTCCCACTCTTTTACCAACTTTAAAATGGAATAAAAATCTCTCTTGTATATTTGTAACAGTTCATGTAAGTACCATTAGTTAATGTTGTTAAACATAAAAAAATTTGTTAAACTTGTTGTAACACTGGTACATATGGTAGCTTGAATCTGTTGGAGTTGATTTTGTTGTTAGTTCATCTTTGAAACTTAACATTGGATTAAGATCTAATCCTCGAAAGAAGCTGTTGGATCTATGACCTCATTGTTAGTGACAAAGTGAAGGGCTTTTTTGGTCCTTTCTTCATGGTACATTATGTGTTCTCTGTCCTCTTATAATATTTTTAGCTTGCTTTATTTCTGTTGGGTTAAGTGCAAAGAAAAAAAAGAAAAAACAAAAACAAAAACAAAAAAAAAAACACCCCTCCTAATTTTTTGGGTGCAAATAAACCCTCTATTACATTTTTTTTTTTTGTAAATTACCCCTTAATCAACTATTTTGACCAATTTATTTTTAGCAAAATCCCAAAATGCCCTCCTAATCCAGCGAAATTCATCGCCGGCCGATACCATTTTCCGGTGACGAGTGTCCCAACTCCGGCGAGCCTCAATACATTAAAAACCCATCAGAAAGATCAAAGAACGGCAAGCTTGGCCAAAACAGAAAGACCCAGCTTCTAGTTCGGCGAGCCTCGTGGCCCTCATTAACCCTGCTTCAACAGTGAGCTCCATCAACCCAGCTTCAATCCGGCGAAGCTCCGAACAACGCACCTATCCTCGCAGCTCGTCGTCTTTGATGACCAAGCTGTTCAAAACCACCTAGATATGTTTGTCTTGGTGGACCTAGAGCTAGAATTAAATGTATCAGGTTGTGAATTAAATAATTTTAAAGTCTTTTGGTGGCTCTAATGTTCAAAATGTTTTCATTGCATGCCAATCATAGCAAAGGTCTTTAAACCAAGAGAAACTTTAGGAAACATAATTCTGCCAGTATGGGTACAGAAATATTGAATTAGATAGAATGTCAGAGAAAACTAAAAACAGGAAGTTGACTGCCTCTTTAATGGTGCTCACCGGGCGATGGCTTTCACCTGACAAGGAGGGCATTTTGGAATTTTACAAAAATGAATTAGTCAAAATAAATGATTAGCAGTAATTTGCACCAAAAAATACAGTAAGGGTTAGTTGAGCAAAAAAAAAAAAAAATGTAGTAGGAATTTCCTAAGGGTGTTTCTTACACTTAACCCATTTTTGTTTATAAAAAAAATGTCACAACATGTTGCTCCATTGAAATGCAATTAGTTAATTAATAATAATTACAATAATAAGAACTATTGACAATAATAAGAACTATGAATAATGTAAACAGACTTACAGAAAACCTTCTTTATTGAACTTCCAAGTTAGTACAGAGAAATATTACAAAAGAGAGAAAGGAAATTTAAAGATACATTGAAGGGAAACTTTGTCCTCTATTTATACATAAAATGGACTTGAAATTATCATTTTGAAGTCCGCATAGTGCATGGGATCGTGTGCTGGAATAATGCAGTCGGTTGGCCCACCACTAAGTTCTGTCTCCTTATCGGATGGAAAGTGGATATCTGATGAAGGAAATACTGTAGAACCAAAGACTTTTGGGAAAAGTTCTTTGGCTTCTTCTGTCGGCAGGATAAGAGGAATCTTTTACTTTTTAGGTGGATTCATCTTGTCCATCAAGTGACTGGTGAGAGAGTCCCAATAGTCGGCTACTGTAGGCTCATCTTCAGAAATAAGATCTTCATTGGGATCTTGTGCATAACCAGCTAGATAGGAAAACTGATTACCTTCTTGACTGGTCTGGCTAGAGACTGACACCATGGATGCATCATCTCGTACTGTGGGTGTGGAGGAATCAAAAGATTTAACAAATTTGGTCCTCATAAAATCCATGCATTTAACCATTAAATCAGCTTCGGTAATTAATGGTTGTTGTTTTCTGATCATATCTTTAACAAGTTCAAATGGGTTAAAGATTTCGAGTTCTAGAATAGTTAACTTTGGAATCTTATCCATGTATTCCAGTGTTTTCTTTCTGATCTGATGGAGGAGGGCTTGGATAGGTTCTTGAGTCATGCCTGACCACCATCGGTAATAAAAGATCCTCTGAAGGACTGGTAACTTGTCAGTGGTATAACCACATTGAAAATCCCATTTCCAAATCCAAGGGATTCCAAATTCAGTAAAGAACAATAGGGTGGATTTCCCTACAGGAATATTATCCTGTCCCCGTAATTGAGGATGAAATTGTTGCCATGGCAAGTATAATTGTCTGACTGATTCGGGCAACATATCCAGATCAGGGCCAAATATAGCCCACCAGGGTATAACCCAGTTTGGGAAATCAGCCTTAACTGATTGAGGGCATATCTTGAAGAACCAAGAATGCTTATGCTTCGGATTTTGATAAAAGAAAGAATATGTCCAAGCTGAGATATAATCCCAATAATTGTAATTGTGACCATAGGATATTTTCCTTGGCAAATTAGGATTTAATCCCCAGTCACTAGGCCTTATAAGTCTCTTAAAGATAGCTTTACTATAAGTAAGAGGACTATCTTTGGAATTCGGAAATTGCTTCGTGTGGTTGATCTCCACAGAGGAAGTTTCAGTAAGAATAGCTTCATAGATATATCTATGGCGACCATCCGGTGCAGCATATTGTTGAGTTTGAAAATATCTGGATTTTACTTCCCAAGGATCTGGCATCCATTGCTCATCCTGAGAATCCAGTACCAATACTGTTTGAATATACCTTTGATTAGGTATCCATGGAGTTTCTTGTTCAAGAACCTCTTTCATGGTTGGTTTCTGTTGTTTTTGCTGGGTACTGCTGCTTCCTTTAGAAGGTGTGTTGAGCAGATCAGCAACATGCTCCAAATATGGAAATTGATCACCAGTGAGTGGTATAACCACTTTGGCCTTAGCCTTGTTTTTGCCACGAGCCTTTGGAGTATTACCCCGGCCCTGCCCATGGGGGGGCGGATTCATGAACCCTGCAAAAATTCACGAGTTAGAAAATCAGGTAAAGAATTAGAACTGCCTTTAATATATTCAATAGAAAAATCAAAAGCAGATAAATCAGCTTGCCAACTAGCAAATATCTGTTTGGAGACCAAATTCTTTACATCTTTTTCCAGTACTTGTTTAGCAGCACTACAATCAATGCGTAACAAGAATTTCTGATTGATTAAATCATCTTGGAATTTATAAATGCATTTAACCAAAGAAAGAATTTCCTTTTTGATAGTTGAATAATTTAATTGTGCATTTTTCCAAGTTCCTGAAGTGAAGCGAACAAGCTCCTCTGTTCCTGTGTTTGGATTTTTCTGTTTAAGAATACCACCGTATCCAATATTGGAGGCATCTGTTTCCACAATTTTGAACCATGAAGAATTGGCTAGAGCTAAGCAAGGAATTTGTTTTGCTCTGAGTTTAATCTTCTGAACTGCCTTGGTGTGTTCCAAAGTCCATGGGGAAGGAGATTTCCTTAACCTGGTGTACAAAATTGCGGTATCCTGTGCAAGATCTCTGTAGTGATTGCGAATATAATTCAAACTACCCAGAAACCTTTGAAGCTGAGTTTTATCCTTAATTTCATCTGAAAATTTAGAAGCAAACTCAATACTGCGATTAATAGGTCTAATTTTCCCATCACAAATTTCATGACCAAGAAATCTGACCTTAGTTAAAAACAGTTTTAGTTTAGGAGCAGAAACTACTAAACCACTTCGGTAAATAACATGTTTGAAAATTTTCAAGTGTTTATAATGCTGATCTATTGAATTAGAAAATATGAGAATATCATCAATATAAACTATAGAAAATTCAGTAAAAGGATTAAATAGGTCATTCAAAATATGTTGAAATTCTGAAGGGGCATTTTTTAATCCAAATGGCATCACTGTCCATTCATACTGTCCAAAAGGTACGCAAAAAGCTGTTTTGTACCTGTCCTCTTCTGCAATCTGTACCTGGTAATATCCAGATTTAAGATCAAATTTAGAAAAGATTACAGCAGATTGTAACCTATCTAAAAGATCTTTGATGTTGGGAATTGGGTATCGGATCCAACTCAAAGCAAGATTGAGTGGCCGATAATCAATAACCAATCGAGGAATTCCTCGTTCTTTTTCAGCATTTTTATTGACATAAAAAGCTCTGCAACTCCAGGGGGAGTAGCTAGTAGTGACAAGCTTCTTTGCCATTAAAGAGCTGATTTCAGTTTTACATAATTCCAAGTAGTCAGCTTTCATGTGGCTGGGACTAGCTTTAGAAGGAATCATGCGATCGGTAAATCCCTTTTCATAGGGTAAAGAAACAATATGCTTCTTTCTGGCCCAAAAAGCATTAGGAATCTCACTACAGATTTCCTTTAGAAAGTTTTGTCGTAGTGACTCAATTTTCTGTTGCTCAGTGGGTTGTACCAATCTTTGATTAATTGCTAAGGAGGATACCTCCTTTTGCAAATAATTCAGTTGCTTTTCCTTAAAGATAATGTTATCTTTAAGAGCATTGATATGCTTATTTACTGGTGGGGTCAAGAACTGGAAAGTAATTGACTGGCCATGTAAATTAGAGTATATTCCATGAGAATCAATTTTCTCAATTGGCATGATTAAAGCTAAAAAGGGAGTACCCAAAATAACTTGTTGTGCCATATTTCTGATGAATAAGAAAGTAGATAGTAGACAAATACCTTCTTTACAAATGAAAACATGATTAAGTTTATACTTAATCTGCATCTTACCTCCACTTGCACTGGTAAGACCTTGAGTGGTTTTCTCAAAATATTGAGTAGGAACCAATCCTTCCTGTATGCAGTTCATGTCTGCACCACTATCAACTAAGGCAATTGCATTAGTGATTGTGTACTCCTGATTAATTACCAAATTGATAGATATATACCATTTTTGGTAAGTAACTTGATTCAAGAGTTGAAGATAATTAGTACCTTCTGATTGAGGGACTTCATCTTGGGATGATGAAGGTGTAATTGCAGATTGTGCTTTTAAAAGAGTAATTTCCAAATCCATCTTAGTCTGACGAGACTTTAATTGACGAATTTCTTCTTTTAAAAGATTAATCTCCATTCTGAGATCAGGGAGATTAGCAGGACGAGAATTTTGTCCTTGGTGTTCTAATCTACTTAGAACTTCTTTCATGCTGTAATGATTTTCTGCTCTTAGAAAATCTGGATTATCCGTATCCTCATTAGATCGTGCCAGAGCAGAACCTATTTCAAAGACTTTCATCTTGATTTGAGGATCCTG